GACGCCCCGGTCCACAGATCATATTCTCCAGAGGTAAAGGAACATGTTTGTTCGGTACAAGCCCCGACAAAAAGTCACATCCTGATTTTTATTTTATTTTTTTTGTGAAAATGAAAATGCAAAAACGATAATTCCCACTGAAATCGCAGTATCTGCCAAAATAATGATAATAACTATGAGTTTTTTTTGCATATCAGTTGCCGCATGCTGATTTTATAGGTATAACATTTCAGTTGCTCATTTACAACTTCCTTTAGTGTGGAGTACTTTTGGTTCCCACCTGCTGTTGTTTACGGAAAGGACAGGTATGAAGAAATATAGTAGTTAATAGTTTAGCAGTATAATAGTAGAAGTAGTATTATAGCATAGTATATGTGTATACCGTCTAAACAATTAAGTTGTGTTTACTGTCCTGCCGTGTTGGCGGAGGTTAAAGAGCCTGGAGAACCCACCGAGAAATCAGGGTTACACCAACATACACTGCTCAGGAAATACAGATAGAAACAGATAAGTAATAATGCAAACAACTCATAAAGTATCTTGCCACAATGATTATAAATGAACTGAATATGTGTTTTCAATATGCTGTAAAAATACAAAAAATGGTCATTTGAAACCACGTGACACGGACTTGGCGCAACCAGGACCCGTCGCAGACACGAGGATTCGACCAGGCGCCATCCAGAACGCGACAACACATCCTCCTCTCATCCCGTATCCGGGGTCATTAATGGGTCATAAAGGATGGAATAGTTTGTCTCTATTAGATTAGACTTTCATAACTGCACTGTAACAAACAGTTTGATGCTGCATTTTTCAGACGTTTTGGTACCAAATCAATCCAAAAGACAGTAAATCACAACATCTCATTTTAATCATTTGATTACACCTCGATATTTACAATTAACTGCAGCAGTAACTTGTTCGGGACACATGCTGAGGAGCAGACGGCTCAACCAGAGTGAAGAAAACTCAGCCCTTTCATTCAGACCTTTTCTTGTAGTGTCAGTGATTTGTTGTAGTCTGGGGGTTAAAGCAGAGCTGTATTGCACTGACTCGCACCGCTGTCCAGGAAAAATAACACTCAAAACTGCAAATAGTGAGACATTTGATGCATCAGCTCTGATTGTACAACGTCAAATTGGAAATGTTTTTTTTGCAGATTTGCATCATTTCCTCCCGACAGCCGCGACAGGAGAAGATCACAGACAGGCCAGAGGGTTTTCTGCAGGTCATTCTTGTTTTCTGACATGAACTTTGCCAAACAGGAAATTTTTGCCCTCATGAAAACAAAAAAACAAGATAAGCCATCTGTGTTACACAACAGCAGCCAGGATACGGAGACGAGGAGTACAGTCAGTAAATTACGTTCAGTAGCATCATGAGACAGAAACGTCGATCCAGACAGAACCAGAATCATGCAGGTAAAGTCTGACTGTGTGTGTGTGTGTGTGTGTGTGTGTGTGTGTGTGTGTGTGTGTGTGTGTGTGTGTTTTCACAACCGATCAAGCAGGAATCAAACACATTTTCATAGCAGACACTGTAAACACAACATATTGTTACACAGAGAAATGTCAGTACGGGACATACTGAGGGCAGCAGGGGCGCTGGGACAGCAGCTGGTGTGTCTCTGGAAACGTCCTGCAGGTAAAACCCTGAACCCTGACCTCAGTCTGACCTCTGAACCCCCTGTGGTGAAAATGCCTGTTTGTGTGTCTCTATAGGGGAGATGCAAAAATAAAAAAATAAAAAATTCCTCACAACATCAAGGCAACGGTTACTTTTAAAGTCACAATGAAATAAAACATGAAACTTTTTACATGAAAATTGAATTACAATCAATTTAATGTGAATATCTACAATTTCAACAGAGCAGCAAACTCTGCTGAGGAAGATCATGTGATACGACCGAAAGCTTCAGATCTGCTATTAAACGGGCCCCGTGGTGAGTACTGTTTTCCAACATCAAGAATGAACATTTTTAAACTAATTTCCCTTGTGATGGCACACACACCTGTGACAATAAATGTAGATTTTTCACATTTTTTCATATTTTTATATCAAAATTATATCTGGAATTTATTTTATATCAATAACGTACAACATGACGTTGTGTGTGCCCTACAGAGAAGCTTAAGTTGAGAAATAAATCAGAGTTTATTAACATTTTCAGATGTACTGTCTTCATTTTATGTCTTTTTACCCCCAAAATCATCAGGATAAACCAAACCTAAAATCTTCACTCTGCCTTTAATAATCTTCAGGGACTTTGAGGGGAAAAATACATCATAGATAAACTTTTTCTGTAGCTTTTCAGTTCAATATTTGTTAATACCTTCCTTGAAATCAACATAATAAATGAATATACCATTTATTAAGTTTAAATATGTGAATTAAAAGTACAGTAGCTTGACCACAATAAATAATTTCAGTTCCACAAACGGACACAAGCTGAGATGGCAATTAGCCAACTGCTGCTCTGCTAAGCTAGGCTAGTCAACGTTTAGCCAGATTAGTTTAGCAGGTTTTAGTTAGTCTCCATCACATCTGAAATTAGCTATTGTTGGATAACAAACTAATCTTATCAAGATGTTATTTGTTATTGCCAGGTGACAGTTGAGTAGCAAAAGCAAACATGTAGCCTAGTTTTAGCTACAGCTAGCTACGGCTAGCTCATCTGTTAGCTTGAACCGGATGTAGCTCTCTTGTTTTAGCGGTCTTGTTCTTTCTCTGTGGAAAAGCAGCGAGTGCGGCAGCAGGCTCTAATTTTGGTACATTTACACTTACAGGTACTTTCCCTGTTAATTAAACCAATAAATAAACAACATTACCAGACACAACTTTTAACTGTGGTTTGTTTCAAGTGTTTTAAATTTTACATGCAGTTTTCAGGAAAATTATACATTTTTCTGACATAATATTTCCTAGATGGTAAAACTGACGTTAAAAAATCATATTTTTGTCAATTCTTACCAAATATAAAGTTAAATCTCAATTCACATCATTAAACCCCAAGACGAAGACTCCACGTAGATTATGTTTTCCAACCAAAGATATTCAGTTAATTTGATATTTTGCTTGAAAAACTAATCATTTTAATCATCAAAAAAGCTGACAGTTATTTTTCTGTTGATCAACTAATCAATTATTCAACTTATTGTTTCAGATTCAATTGAGATTTATCCATAGTGGAATTAAGGAGCCTTGAAAATCATCCCCAGACAAAAAGAGCACCAAAAGTATTTGTGTGGTGTCCATATATTTTTGGCCATACAGCATTACATCATGAAAAATCCTCCCATCTAGTTTCTTTCTCTCCCCTTTTCCACAAATAAGTAAAATTCAGGAGCAAGACGCTCTGAGAGATGCCATTTCATTGTGACTTTAAAACCAAACTACATCTTCAATCTTAATCTGAAAGTCTTCAAACTTCCTGCTGCATATAAAGAAACACTTTTCCTTCTTCTCAACACTGTAAAAAAACAAAACAGGTTCAGTCTCAGTGCAGCACGTCAGACCTCTTAGCTGTGACAAATAAATTATCCTTTTAGAAAAACAAAACACTTTACCCACATAATAATCTTTAACCCCGGAGATCTACTTTACATCAGGGGCCGCCAAAAATCCCCCAAAGGACTCAGTTTGCTGCTGTTTAAATATTTAGTGTATTTACATGACGCCAAAAAGCCACAAGCCACCGGCTCTTAGAAAAGTGCTCTGACCCTCTTATACTCTGGAGGTCTGGCTCGTGAAGCACAGCCATAAACTCCTCTCCTCCACTTTACACTGATCTGAGCCGCCGCCAGCTGCTAGACGACTTAAAGAGAGAGAGAGAGAGAGAGAGAGAGAGAAAAACAAGCAACAAATTTACAGATTACAATGAAGTCAGTCTTTGCATGGGATCGCCCTGTGATCCCGGCAGACGGTAGATTCATCATTAACACTGACACAACTGCACAACAGGTCAGGAAGTGACTATCTTATGACACTACGTGGCTTTTGATTTAAGGGTCACATATTGTTTCAGCTGAGAGCAAAGCAAAACAGCCCGGAGGCTTAAAAACAACTGCTGATAAACCTGAGGAGGAAACGCAAAGAGAATAAAACTCTCCAAAATAAATATCATTTATTGTCTCATTGACGAGGATGCGCCGCTACCGTCTGCTGGCGGGAAAACTTCCCGGGCTCAGCAGTCATCTTTAGAAAGTAAAGCTAATTCTTAAATCAATATTTTCATGTGAAACCCGAGACTGTGTAAACAGCTTCCCACCAACTTCAAAAGAGAGGAATCCTTTTGATAAACCTCAGTCTTCTCTCTGGGAAATGAGCTTAAGGTCCATCAGATACACATCTGTAACTCGCACACACATATCGATCGCTGATTAACAGATGATTTCTTCATGAATGATTTTTCATACACACATTAGTATCTGGACTTCCCTAAGGGGAAACAGATCAGTGGTCTGTTTCAAGTGTTTTTGTTTTTTTTGCATCGCCTACTTCTACCCTGAAAGAACCAAGACAATTTGCAGATTTTTTTCAGTCAAGCTTGAAAAGATTTAAAACTATTTTTTTTTTTTGCATTTCAGTGAATTGCACAACACAAGTCGTGCTGTGCTTTCCTTTTGTTTTGTTTTTTTTCTTTTTTTTTTTTTGCATCTGGGAGTTCTTAAGTCAATGCAGGCCTCTGGACTAACATACATGAACCTTATTCCTACAGTTTCTTCTTCCTCTTCTTCTTCTTTATTCCATCCGCTTGTGATCCTTGCTGCTGGTCAAAGAGCAGCGAGACCCAGCTTCCTCTTTCCACAAAAATCAGCCTTCGTGACGACCAACAGGCATCTGCACGGGCACCTCTCCGCGCTCCGTGCAGGAGGTCCTCGACGCATTTTACTGCCGGACCAAAAAGACCTGTGTCATGACACGCAGCTGAGAGCAAAGCACACGCACAGAGGGCCGAGCCTCCAAAGTGACCGAACCAAATCCATCGTCGTCGAGGATCATACTTGGCATCGAGGGTCTGAGCGGGGGCTGACGGGAACAGGGGCTTTTTTGGCGTCCGTGCAACCGAGGCAGGAAGGAAACAACGGGCTAAAGAGGCGGCCGAGACCTTTCCGGAAGACGCTGTTGGAGAGGCTGTAGATGAGACAGTTACAGAAGCTGTTGCTAATCGCCAACCACGTTGTGAAGAAGGACGCCACCTTATGTTGATACAGTCCGGCGCTCTCAAGGAGGAAGTAGAGGATGTACGGCATCCACAGCACGTAGAAGACGCTGGTGATGCGGAACAGCACCATGGCGTAGCGTTTGTCCGGGCAGCCTTCACACCGCTCCCCACGCTCGCCTTTATCGCCCTCCGCCTGCGAGCTGAAGCGGGCGTGGCGCTGGGTGATCTCCCTCGTGTGCTGCCGGCAGATCCTGAATATACTACCGTAGGTGAAGCAGACGGTGAGCGCTGCCGGGGCGTAGAGCAGCGCCACAATGAAGGTGCTGAACCCAGGGTTAGTTTTCCAGGAGTCGGCGCACCACTGAAATATGTCCCCGTGGTAACCCGGCTTCCCCCAGCCGAAGAAGGACGGCAGGAAGATGGAAGCAGAGTAAACCCAGACGAGGACGATGCACACCCTCAGCCGGCAGGGCGTCACCAGCGTGGCGTACGACAGCGGGCGGGTAATGGCGATGTAGCGGTCTACGCTGATGCACGCCAGCGACGCCATGGAGACGCTCTTCAGCACAGAAACCATGTAGCCAAACGCCTTGCAGGTGAATTCCTCGTTCAGGCCGCGGAGGTAGTGGAGGAGGGACAGCGAGGGCACCAGGCAGCTCACGCCCACCAGCAGGTCGGCGTAGGCCATGGTCTGGATGAAGTGGCTGGTGGTGTGGTGGTGCAGCAGGGGGGCACAGTGGAAGACGAAGATCACCACCAGGTTGCCGGCGATGATGAGCACAGTGAGGAAGAGGATGACGACCACCTCCAGCACACAGGTATCCAGGCTGTGGGAGTAACCCACGGCGCCCAGCAGGCAGAACGGCGGAGAGCTGCTTTGGTTCGCATCGGAGGAAGAGTTCATGTTTGGACTAGACGAGGGAAGGAGGAGGGGGAGGGGGGTGGGGGGGTTTTCAGCTCAATTCAACCGTCATCCTGTCGTCCAAGTCTCTCTCTCTCTCTCTTTTTTTATCCTTAATCCTGAAGTTACTCGTCCCGTCTTCGGCTCAGAAAACAAAGCGTGCCTCCTGTTCTTCTTAAATCAGCATCTTCCGTCCCTCAGCGGGCAGGGAGCCCATCCTTAAAGTAGCAGTAGTCCATCGGTGCATGGAAACCACAGCCCGGCTCCGGTGCTGCTGCTGCTGCTGCTGCTGCTGCTGCTGCTGGGGGTGAGATTTGTGCATGTGTGCGACCACAAGAGGCAAAAGAAAATCCCCAACGTACAACAAGAGATGCCAGTCTGATGCTGCAGTGCAAGCCGTCCTCTCCTCGCTGCTGTTTATCATCCCCCCCCCCTTCCTCTTCACTACAAATCCTGAGGTAAGCACTCTGCTCCGGTACGCAGCCGCCGAAAAAACCCAGGCATCCACTTCCACCCGTTAGAGTTCTGGCTCTAGTGAAGCGAGAGGGAGGGAAAAAAAAAAAAAAAACACAATGCCGAAATGTCCCGGCAGCTCCGACGTTAACACTCCTCCATGCCGCCGGTCACGGGCGCCTCAGCAAACAAAATAAGACAGTCCAAACAAACGGCGTCAGATGTGGAGGTAGCAGCCTCGTCCATGGTCCGTTGTCAGGGATGAACACACACATGCAGCGTCTCGAGTCCTGGAGACAGGTGATGGATCATGTCACCAGGGTCTTCTCTGCTCCGCGAGGCTTCTTGTGAGGTTGAGAAGCAGCCGGCTCCCCTCCAGTGTGTGTGTGTGTGTGTGTGTGTGTGTGTGTGTGTGTGTGTGTGTGTGTGTGTGTGTGTGTGTGTGAGAGAGAGAGAGAGAGAGAGTGATTGTGCATGAATGTGTGTGTATGAGAGAGAAAGAGAGAGAGAGAGAGAGAGAGAGAGACAGAGAGAGAGAGAGAGAGAGTCAGGCAGTCAGGCTGCCTCTCCTCTGCTGTAGTGGCAGTATAGTGATGATGCAGCACTGCCACTGCTGTTCGCTCTCCTCCCCCTGCTCGCTCGCCCTCTCTCTCTCTCTCTCATACACACACACACACACACACACACACACACACACACACACACTGGTGCTCCCTCCCCTTCACTCTCTCTTTCTCACACACACACACACACTTTTCCTCCCCTCCCTTTCTCCTTGCTTTCTTTTGTAAAGCCTTTCCCCTTCTTTTCTCTTTCACATCCCCTCACTCCGACTCCCCTCCTCTTGCACCAGTGTGTGTGTGGTGAGTGTGTGTGTGGTGTGTTGGTTGTAGAGTCGCTCATGAGAGAGAGAGGAAGAGAGGAGCGAGTCGATAGCAGAGGGGAGGAGAGCGAACCAGCATGTGGCAGTGCTGCATCATCACTACTGGCCACTACTCAAGGGCAGAGGAGTAGGTCAACGCCTGAACTGCTCTGACGTCTCTCTCGATTATCAAATCTCTGTACTCCTTCATATCTCATGCTGCGTCTCTGCCTTCTCTTTTCATCTCAGTGACTAATTACACGACACATTCAGTAGAGTTATGTAATGCACAAGTCACTCTCTCGATGCTCTGCTGCTCTGCATTCAAGCACTAAGACGACACGACGTACATACATCACCAACAAATACAACACCACCAGCTCACAGCTAACGCTGCAAAACTCGGACAGCACAAACACACGACAGATCAACACTGAACGGAGGGACGAAGCCGGCTGCTTTCGTTTCCTAACCTTACAAGAAAGCCAAATGGCGCGGTGACAGGAGAGTAGACACCTTGGTGCCATGATCCTCTGTCAGACTTTAAACTGGTTCCACGATGACTCGGAGGACCGCTGCATGTTGTGTGTTCATCCTGGACAACGGACCAATGGTGGCTCGATGGTCTGCATAGAAAAAATCCGAGCCGATCTGACGGTCCGCGGGTTGTGTTTGTGACTAGTGCCTTATTTTGTTTTGACTTGACGTCGCCGATACGACCATGGCGGCATTGGGAGAGGAAGTGGTTAACTGTCGGGAGGCTGCCGTGGGACATTATCGGGTCATTGTTGTATATTTTTTTTTGTCTTTTTTCCCACTCCCATCATGCTGCACTAGAGGGCCAGAATCTAACGGGTGAAAGTGGATGCCTGGGATTTGTTTTCGGCGGGACTGAGTACTCGGAGCAGGAGTGCGTTACCTCTCAGCAGATCTTCGCGTCTTCAGCGGCAGGAGCCTCCCTAAAGTAGCAGTAGTTCCATCGGTGCATGGGAAACCAGCCCGGGCTCGCGAGGTAGTGCTGCTGCATGCTTGCGTAGCCTTGGTGCTGCTTGCTTTGCTGCTGCTGGGGTGAGAATTTGTGCATGTGTGCGACCACAAGAGGCAAAAGAAAATCCCCAACGTACAACAAGAGATGCCAGTCTGATGCTGCAGTGCAAGCCGTCCTCTCCTCGCTGCTTGTTTATCATCCCCCCCTCTTCACTACAAATCCTGAGGTAAGGCACTCACTGCTCCGGTACGCAGCCGCCGAAAAAACCCAGGCATCCACTTCCACCCGTTAGAGTCTCGGCCTAGTGAGAGCGAGAGGAGGGAAAAAAAAAAAAAAACACAAATGCCGAAATGTCCCGGCAGCTGCTCCGACGTTAACTACACTCCCACGCGGTCACGGGGCGCCTCAGCAAACAAAATAAGACAGTCCAAACAAACGGCGTCAGATGTGGAGCGTTAGCCGCTCGTCCATGGTCCGTTGTACGGATGAACACACACAGTTGGCAGCGTCTCCGAGTCCTGGAGACAGGTGATTGAGAAGAGTCTCGCCATCTTGGGTTGGAGTTATGATGAGAGCAGCGAA